GGAGTTTGCAAAGGGTATTCACAGTTACTCTTTCATCCTCCATGCAACCTAGAGCAACAGGTATCATCGTTATCTGTTACAAATGGGAAACTGAGACTCCCTGACAAAGCAATTCCTTATAATGCTGGCACTAGAATTTGTTTATTCCATTCAATGCATCGTTTTTTGGAACGACTTTGGGGAGATTTGAATATGACTATTTATTAAATAATACTGTTGTATCAATGTATGATTTCTTAAAGTTGATAATGGAACTGTAGGTTATGTTGGGAAGTATCCTTGTTCTTGGGAGATACATGCACAACTATTTAGGGATGAAGTGACATAATGCCTGCTACTTACGTAAAATGTTATGTGGGAAAAAATATGTAAGAGAGGGAGAAACAGACAAAGCAAATTTTCAGGCGGTCAGTAATTGATAAATCTAGGTGAAAGAATTCTATAGAATTTCAATAAAAAATTGGGAAAAAGGACATGTGGAGTAAAGGTGGAAATAGCAAGTGTAAACAAATCTGCTCAAGGAGTTTGTATCCCTGGGGCATTGTCATATTAAAGGTGAGAATGGTCTTTTCTACTGGCACGTGATCCTACAGCAGAAGCAAATCTAGTAGAAAATTACATTTTTAGGCAGGAAAATAACAATCTTGATCAAGACTGAAGATTTTCTTTTTTTATGTCTCAGAGTGAAATTCCACCTCCATCCCCCAGAAATGCATCAATTTGCTGAGTCCTATAGGTTAGGATTCCTAAATATCTCAGTCATCTGTCCTCTCCTGGGAAAGGATCTTAGAGAATATAGTGGTCATTTAAAGTATGGGCTTTGGCTCTACCACAAACAAGCTAAGTGGCTTTTGGTTTCTTCTCCGATAAATTTGTAGAGGATTAAATGAGATAATACATGTAACAGCACTTAACATAGTGTCTGGCACATAGTAAAAGCCAAATGAATATTAAGCATTATAACTCTATCCTCACTGTCATTAATTCATGATTGCTTGTTGGAAATCAAGGCTGGGGATCAGCAAAGAGATGCGGAAGCCTTCAGGAAGCTGAGACACCTGCAGCCACCTGATGGCTGCCTCCTCAGCCCATAAATGCAAGATATCCTGTCACCTCCCAAGGGACACACAAATCAGGAAGACATGGAGGTACATTATATTCATTTCAGTATTCCCAGCACATCACACTGTGCCTTTCACCTAGACTTGCCAGTTGTTGACATCTAGTCAAAATTTTTGCACTTGCTCTCCCTCCTCTCTCTCTCTCTCTCTC